TCAGTGTGCTTGGTGGTCGCCTACCTCAGCGTTGTCTGCGCTCAACCCTGCTTGGCTGCAGAGCTCTGCACGAAATCGGGAGCATGCTGGGCGATGCGGTCACAGGCCGTACGTAGACTGTTACACACAAAGATAAAGTTCTCCCCGTAGAGCCTTAATCGACTGTTGGGGCAGGTGCTGTTCGCGAGCACCTAATGAAGGCCGGCATGGCACACGAAGGGGTGGGTGGCCAACACCATGCCCGGCCGCCTTTGCCTCTCCCAGGTACTCATGTGAGGCTGAGTGGACCTGAGGGAAGTCCAGGACTATTTAAGATAATTCTCATTTGTTTTAGCCGTGAGCGGCAATCAAACTCGGTTCCCCGGGTTGGTAGTGTAGTCCACTAACCGTAAGACACACATGCACACACACACGCATTGAAGTCGGGTGCATTCTGGGCAATACGGTCATAGGCCGTAGACTGTTACACACACACATGCACACAAGGGACGCACGTAACCTACATTTAATGAAGCCTTTGCAATTGATGGATATTCAGGTCAGGAGGCTCGGATGATGATGGTGATTATGGTCATTGTTGTTATAATTACTGACTTTATAGTACGCGGCTTGGTCCTTTGTGTTCAGCCGGCGGTGCATTATCCATCACCAGACACCTCTTACCCTGCTGCGCCCTCCCCACATGGGACGGGACGAGGGCCTCTTAGCGCAGCGCGTGACACGCACACACGGCGAGTCCGCTGCGACGCGGAGACCCAGCCCGCGCACCGCCGGTCCGACGTGCAGCGATCGGGATAATTATCCAGACGGCCGTTGTTGTAGTGCGGCGTACGGGAGTCGGGGATCTAAGCAAGGGGAGGCAGTGGAGGGGGCATTGGCGGATGGGCAGGGGTGGCGTTGAGGAGGATGAAGACGTGGGGGTGGCGCGTTCGCCGCTCGTTGCACAGGCCCGTGGTTCGAACCTGGCAGCCCTATTTACCACCGCGGGTGTATTTGGCCGCTGTAAATTTCCGCACAATGATGAACCCACTCTGTTGAGCTATTATTTGTGGCCAGGTCGCTTCTGAATGAGAGCCACATCACTCGGTGGACCTTACCGGCATATACTCGCGCGATGCCTGTGTCGCGAGCGCACGATCCGCCGAAGTAATTCGAAAACGGGTCGGCGGTTGTGCGTCAGCGTCACGGTCCAAACTCGCCAAATATAAAAAAAAAAATCACCTGCCGACTACCCAATTGGGATTTGCGCACAGATAAAGTCTGGCCATGGGGGAGCGACGTTCCTCATTGCGGTTACACGTGGCAACGTCGCTCCCGCTGGGAGGCCATATCTGCCTGTGCAACATCGCAGCTTCATTCGTCATAATCTTGCGCGATTAAAAGGGACGCAAATACTAAACGTACCAAATTATTATTGTTCAGAGTGAAAGTGTCTTCCTGCCCAATGGACCACGGGCTGTAAGTAAACGCGCGCGTGTGTGTGTTAGGAGCCCAACTTTGCAGTTTCCCCTTTGCTAAGTGATTCAGCCATTTCTCCCACGATATAGATAGCCAATCGGTGTCGAGAACTGGCAAACACGGTGGATCTGCCGCTGGCTCCGCCCAGCTGCTGAAGTGGTGCGCGGAGCGAAACGTCGGGACGTCGTTTCTGAACAAACCCGCGGTGGCACGACCCCCGCAAAGCATCGGAGGAGGCCCCGTGCAGCAGCGTCACCATACAATCATGTATCGCAACAGCAAGTACAATAACGATGATCGTAATGACAACACTTGCATTCATATCGCGCCGCCAACGCGACTGAAACAACGCCCGTTCGAAAACGGACACAGAGGGCAGTGCTTGTTTACACAAAGAGTGATTTGTAGCCGCCACAGAGTCTCCGGTGTCCCGGCACCGGAGAGGCTGCGTGTGTCTCGTCTGCCAGTTTTTATCGGCAAGACAGCCGACGGGAACCGGCGCTTGGGCCGCCGGGCGGCCGAGCGCGCAGAGGCGGAACTGCCGAGTGCCGGCGAGCGGGCGTACTGCTCCGGCTCGTCGCTGCGGTGTTACCGGTTTGTGCTGGGTTTGTGACTGGGAGCCGGTGGGAGCCGGAGAGATGTGGGTCTGGGTTTCTGACGGTAGGGGCGGGGTGTGGGGGGTGGCGGGGGGGGGGGGCTAGTGTGGGGTGGGGGTCTGGTGAAGGTTGGGGGGCGGTTTTGGGAGAGTCAGGCAGGTGAGTGGAGGTGAGGGCTGCGTGTGTGCGTGTGTCCCGTGTGTGCGTGTGTCCCGTGTGTGCGTGTGTCCCGTGTGTGCGTGTGTCCCGTGTGTGCGTGTGTCCCGTGTGTGCGAGACTATATCTGGTGGGGAGCGGTAGTGCAGTGGTTTGCACGCAATCGGCGTGGTGCTGGCCACTCGCCACTTGCGTGTGCCGCGTTGACCTTCATTAGGTGCTCGCTAACAGCACTTACCCCAAACAGTCTCCGGAGCGCTATACGGGCAATCTATGTCTTTGTTGTGACTATATCAGCACTGGGAAGACAAAGGCGGCTGGGTGCGGTGTTTGTCACACCACGCTCTTGTGCACCATTCTGGCCTCAACAGGCGCTCGCAAACAGCACTTGCCCCAACAGTCCGTACGGATTGTCTTTGTCGCCGTTGTGTAGGTGTCTCTTTGAAGATGTGTACGTGTTTGTCAAAATGCCACCTCGCCTGGCACAGAAGCTGTGGTGACATGCCACCACCTGGTTGTGCGCGGCAGTTGTTCTCTCTGCGTATATTTGTACACGTGTCGTCTTTGCGTGTGCACAATTTTGTCTTTTGCCCATGTGTAATTTTTTTTGTTATCATCGTGCACACCACGTGTGTGTTCGCTTGTCTGCAGGCGTCTTCATATTTCCATGCTCGTGTGCAACCTGTGCGTGCGTTTGACGTGAAATGTTTACGGAGAGCCGTAACCTCGTGTGTTTTCTTCCTTTTTGGAATGTTCACCGTCTAAAATGAATCTCAATCGCACGGGGGGGGCGCGGTGGCGGGAGTGGGGGGGGGGGGGGTCAGCGATTGCGTCATTGGACAACTCGAGAGATCTGCCCTTGGTAACCTTTTGCCCCTCTTCGCAGAGTCCCCGTGCTTTGAGAGGGTTCTGCCATTTGGCCTGTGGTTTGAATGACGCGAGCCGGGCGAATGGCTTTTCGTGGCGACCTAAAACCCCCGTGTTTAGCCACAGCACCAATACCCCGCCATTCACCACGATGTGATGGTGACGTCACCGCGGCGCCTGTGCCAGGCCAGGTGCACCTTGAGGCCACGTGAACTATCAAAGTCTCGCTGACAGGAGGTTACGGGACAGACCCAGGTGCCATGGGTTGACTGACAGAGATGACTGGCAGATGCACCAGCTGTGCCCCCTACTGTGCCACCACCACCGTCTGTCTGTGAGAAGGCCCCTGTTTCTTCGCAGTAACTTGAGAGAGCGGTGGCTCTGGCGTGTGTGAATCAGCTGCTGCGACTCCCTAGATTTGCAGTGCCCAGCACCTCCTGGGACAACCTCCCCCCGAAAGCAATTCGCGCACTCGACTCCATCATCACTACATTCACAACTCAACAACAGCACACGCCTCTTTGCACTTGCACACACGACAACAACTAACTCACAGCCGCAACTTGCTTATGCCTTTTTTTAAACTATATACAGTACTGTATAGCTATTTTTTCTCCTTGTATAGAATAACAAAAAAAATTAAATTATTGATCACGAGCCCACAAAGCGCGAGCGATTCAAACAAATAAAAAAAGTTTTATCTTCGTGAGTATTAATGTGCTTTGAGTGGTAGATTTGTGCCAGAAAGACACCACGTGTTTAAGCAAAAAATAAAATTAACTTGACTGGAGATTGCTCCAGCCTAAATAAAGATTCTGATTCTGGGATGTTTGGCCAGTTCCATTACTGAGCGTTAAAGTCTACATTCGCGAATGCCAGTGAGTGATTTGTCTGAAGTGTGTGTGATTGTGGGGGGTGTGGGCGGGGTGGTGGTGATGGGCGGTGGATGGTGGTTGTGGGGGCGTAGGGGGCCCGGGTTTGTGGCTTTGACCGACACTCGGGCGAAATCATTTTTCTGAAGCCCCACCGTTGTGGGCCGACGATGGCCTCTCTATGCTCTCTGTGGCGGCCGAAGTACGTCGGAGGCTGTAAATCTCGCGGGGCGGCGCGGGCGCGCGCGTCAGTAGGGGCGGTGGGGGCGGGGAAGCGTCGCCGACTCATTGTGCGTCCACGCTCGGGCGAGCACGGCGAAACGCGTCGGCGGCATTCTCAGCTGCCCCCTCTCGGCCTGCCCCCCCTTACGTCGTCGTTGTGACGTCAGCGGCGGTGTGAGCAGCCCCCCCCCTTCCCCGCCCCCCCCCCCTCTCGCTTTGTCTCGTGATCTTTAGCCCGAGTCCATTCTCCCCCCCCCCCCCACCTTAGCGTCGGCCAGGAGGGTGATAGAAAGGCTCGGTCGTTGACCAAAGTGAAATACCTCCAGACGATGACATTTAGCGTCGTCATCATCCCTCCCCCTCCGTCCCCGACGGGTGCCGTGGTCACGAGTTCAGACCTCAGTGGGCTTTGCCTGTATGTATGTATTTGTATTTACGTTAAACTTCTTTCGCACCGTACGTAGCCAACTGCGCAAATAGGAGGTGCGGGAGACATGGTGCGTTCGCCCCGGGTTCTAGCGCAAGACACGGCCGTCGTAAGGGGATTGATGGGCCACGGTCAAGACGAGCGACGAGGGGACACGCACCCCTGTGGGGGGGGGGGGGGGGTTGGTGAGACGGAGCGTGGAAATTGGTCCCTGCGTGAGCGCCAGGTGGACTCGTCACATCGAATTACTGGAAGAGGATTTGCGCCGGCTTGAGAAGGCCTTCATCCAGCGGTGGATTTGAGCGTGGCCGATGATGATGATGATGAAGGGTAACTGTTCTTGCTGGTCGTTATGAGCACAGTGTTACTAACGTCGCTCCTGTTGTTGTTGTTGGTTTGCAGGAGCCTTGCCAGGTGAATTGCTGCAGCCAAGCGCCAACGGCCTGCAGTGCCATCTACAACCGTAAGTGGCCTCCTCAGTGAATTGAGTGATGAATAATAAATAAAATTCTCAATCAACCTACACACAAGGTGATTACTTGTCTCACGCATGCGTGGAGTGTATCCGTCCGAAGACGCGATGAAAGAGCCCGTCGCGTTTCCAGTAGCCAAGGAGCGGAAACCATCACGCACACTTGGGTTATCCTCGCAGCAGCGGCTTTTGCTAACCATGGAACATAGACAGTCACTGCATAGCGCGCGCGCTTTCAGATGCGCTTCTGCGGCCATCTGGAACGCTCTTCTCTCTGATATTAGGAAGCCATTGGGAGCTGTGCATTTAAAAAAATTCTCGATTGAAAACTAATTTCTTTAGCGCTGTTTTTTTGCATTTGGTTTGTTGTCCTTCGCCCGCATCGCCGATCGGCACGGTTGGTTACGTACGGTGCGAAAGAAGTTCAACGTACGTACATACTACAGACGTACACACGTACACACATACACACGTACATAGAGTTCCTACCCCTTGGTTCACACTGACTTTACATTGAAGCCGAAGCGGGCAAACGTCGCTCAAGACATTCTGCACGAGCGTCGACCACAGGGCCGGGCACTCAGTGTCGCGTTGTCTCTGGAGGAAGGGTCAACGTTGTACCTGTGGCCGCACCACGGGCAGGGGAAGAGGGAGAGTCGAAGGATGTAAGGTTTGGCGAAAGAGAACGGAACGGGAGAGAGAAGAGAAAATCATGCATATGCACACGATAGAAAAATAAAATAAAAATCACGGTAACCATTCACCATTTTTCTCCGTGAAAAGAAGGGTCATTTAGCGGCCGCTGCAATTTTGCTGAATATACCTTTTTTTAGAAAGAATCCCACGTTTATCCCTGTTTGACGCAAGCCGTCGCAGTAAAAATCGGTTGCAGTAACACCAGCAGAGGGTGGGCGCCGAAGCAGGAACCCACTGTTGTACCCCACTTCTACGCGCCCGCGTCCGTGCCGCTCTCCGGCCTCGCCAAGCCCAGCATCTGGAGCAGCGTGGAGAAGCACGGTCGAGCAAACCCTCTCGACCCGTGCGGTGTGGGGCAGGTGTCTCCCCCCCCCCCCCCCCCCCTTAATCGGAGTAGTGGAGAGACAAAAGAGGTGCACGTTGTAGACACTCCGTTCGGTTTCCTCTCCACGTACAAAAAGGCTGTGACACGTCGCGGAGCTGAAGATGAACACCTTCCTTTAGCCAGCGTGGACAGGTAAGGCGGCGGCGAGGCGATGAGGGAACTGCAAGGTGAGTGAGCGGACGACGACGCAAGCTACGCGCCCGCTGTATGGAGTTGGACTGCCTGGGACAGGTTGAGGCTGCTTCGCGCGGAATAAATAAAGGCTACACTGCAAAATAACGCAACACTGCATAATATGAGGCTAGACTGCACAGTAACGCTACACTGTTTAGATTAAGGCTACACCTCAGATTAAGGCTACACTGCAGAATAAGGCTACACTGTGTAGATTAAGCCTCCACCTCAGAATATGGACAGATTGGACAATACGGCGACACTGCATAACAAGGCTAGACTGCACAGCAACGCTATGCTGTGCAGATTAAGGATACAATGCGCAGATTAAGGCGATGCTGTCTAGAATAAAGCAACACTGTGTGGAATCGGGAACACGCCGTGCTGTGTGGAATGAGACAGCGGTGGGCGGAGTGAGTGGGGTCCTGCATGACGTCCGTTGAATAATCCCGGTGGCGTTGGCATCTCGTCCCCGTGAAGGTGGCGGCGCCGTGTGTGTGTGTGTACGTATGTTTAATTTTTTTCACACCGTACGTAGCCAACCGTGGTCGTTGGAGGTGCGGGAAGTTGCGGCTCATCCTGATAAGAACTTAAAAATATCAACACGTTCGTCAATAAGGCTGCGGCCTTGAAAGGAAAAAAATATATTGAACGGGGAACGCGTCTTGTTGATTTTTGGGTCCGATTGCGGCGTGTGAAATGTGTGTCGTGCACCCTCCTCCACCCGACCACGGCTAATTAATAATGTCGCACGATGAACAAACGTGCCGATTGATTACTGCTTCAGCAGCGGCATTGGCACCGGTGCGTAGTTGCTGGAGAGCGATCCACACGCGGCTCACAATTGGGTGTGCGGATGTTTCGCACGTAGTTACAATCGGGCATCGTCGGGCAGTTGCCAGAAGTCCTGGGGGGGCAGGGGGGGGGGGGCGTGTTTGCAACGCTCCTTCACTCGCCGGGTTCTTTGTTCTCTGATCACAGGGCTACACCTCCGCCCCACTCGACGTCTCAATCGGTTGATCAATCGATGACGCCGCGATCGAGCTGACGGCGCGGTTTGACGGACTTGGACACACTGCAAGGGGCTCGTCGTCCGGCAGTGTTGCCGGACAACGAGTGACAACTTGCCTACCGGTTCTTATTTTGGTGTTTGCGTACGTTTTGACAAACCGAGACTCTGAACGTGAATGCCCCCCCATTTTTGACCGGGAAAATTTTAGGTACTTCAAATCGACCCGGGGGGCGGGGTAGAGGTGGAGGGTAAGAAGAAGGTGAATTAAGTTGCATGGGCAACTCGAACAGTTGGACGCAACTGGGAGGCATCGCCAATGCCTTGGACAGAACTAATCGCTGACCTGTTTGAGAAAGGACATCGTGGTACAAAGAGAGAGATTTAATGGCGAAATGAGTTTCGCACCCGTTATTAACCACTTTACAACTAAGGATGATGAAAGGGTGTACGCATCAGTGCTGTCCGTCCGCCTGTTTACCTGTCCGTAATTAAATGGGGGCGGGGGGGAGGTTGTGTGGGGTTAGGGGGGGCACTTTAACTCGTACAGAGGATCCAATACGAACGAGTCTCTGTGGTATGAAGTTGTGTTGCTATTCGTAACATGCATGATTGGAAACCGGCCTAAACCACCGCACGATTGGCCACCGCTTGGAGACAGAAACCAGCGCCCAAAGTAGTATCCTTCTTCGTAGCATAGGGAGAGAGGGCAGATAGAGATTAACTCACTTTTCTCTGTTAGTCCACGGGCCAGAGAAAAAAATCTGTTCCACCTTAGGCAGCAAATTACTTTATATCCCCACACATTTCACATGATGCACCATTGTTGACCACGTGGAGAAATTTTAACCGCTGAAGCTGTGCCACCTCGGGTGGTAGCGACGTGTAAGATATCTGTTCTGGGCTTCATGGACTCTGTGGGAGGCCCCGGAGAACATGGAGAAGTTAGAAGTCGGTTGACTTGGCGTGCCACGGTGGCTAGGAGATGTTAATTACCTCGACTGGTATATAGGAGGTCGTGGGTTCAATCCCGACCCTGATGCCTGTAGTATATTGGGAGTTTGCATGTCTCTCTCTCCGTGGTCACGTGGATTTTTCTCTGGGCCCTCCGAGTATTTGGCTGCTATGAATTTGCACGTGTTAAGCCACTTGAGCTATCATTTGTGATGGCCAGGTCGCTTCTGAAAAAGAGCTACATTACTCAGGGGGCCTTGCCTTGTAAAATAAAAAAAAGTTTAGTTTAGTGTTTAGTGACGCGCGAGCGGTTTTCAAGGTCGCTACGCACGCACACTGCCGCCAGTGCAGGGCCTCAACTGCTAAATTAATGTTTCCAGTTGTAAATCTGAGAAGGTTGATTGCCTAAAGATAACACTCCGTCAGTGAATGGCTTTTAAGTGGCGGTCGCTTTGACTTGCAGCAGCAGCGGTTTTCCTAGAGGCAACAAACAGCCGCGGGGTCCGAGTTCCCGTCGTACTTTTCGTTGACTCTTACGCGACAGACGAGAATCACTCTGGCACAAACCCAATGCTTACCGCCCTGTTCCCCCCTCAACCTCCGCTGCCCCCCCCCCCCACCGGGCCCCTGTGCCCCCCTCTCTCCTTGTGGCAGCCCCATTTGGATCGGTCTCCGTATCTCAAGGAATCTGAAAGTCGGGAGGAGAGGGGAGCGATGATGCGTCTATTAATACCGGCTCCCAAGGCTCGCACGGCACGTGACCGTTACACCCGCGTGGAGTGTCGTAAGAAGTGATTTTTATTTTTTAATGAAAGCGAATGGCACTCACAAGACGCGCGATTGTTAAAATTATTATGAATGTGCAAAGAAGTCGGTGCAAGTGAGAGTTTTTTAAAATAATACAAACGAGGCGGTAAAAATGAGACAAACAATCAATGCTTAAATCAATCCATGGCCCTGAATGACGAGATATAAGCTGAGCTGGCACTGTTGAAGCCCAGGGTTCGAATCTGAGCCCGTGCCCCTCTATAAAGCTCTCTATAGCTCATCGGATTCCTCCAGTATGACGAAATATTTGAGATTCGAATCGTCTTCTCCAGCGCGGTAACTTCATGGACTCTCTGCTGGGTCACCAATGGCTGTCTGTAAAACTCGCAATAAATTTTTTTTTTTACTTAATTTGGATGAATATCTTCCTTGAGAAATAAAAGATATTGGTTTAACAGTCATGTGATTAACCTCTCTCTGTAGCAAGGCATGTGGGAAAGTGCATCCCCTGGTGTCGTAAGAGGTCACTTTTAAGAGATTTCAGATGTAGTTCTGAGACATCTCCTTCTGCGGACCATCCTCTCACACGGTGATGCGCACTGCTCTGCAACAGTTCAAACTCGACACGCGTCATCTCTTGCCACGACACCGGTAGCACAGCGGGAATTAAATTGCTAGAAATGCTAAAAAAATCTGAAAGTAAAAGGTTTTTTTGTACATTTAAAAAAAGATGTTCTCACAGCATCTGATTGGCTTCACAGTCATCAACATGATCAGCCATGTTCAATCCACTGCCGGCTGAAGGCCCCCTTCCCAAGCAGTCACCGTCTCTCTCACGCCGGTGCTGCAATGCCACGGCGCGATCTGGATTTGTACCGTGCGCGTGCAAACGCGACAGCGTCACGCCCAGCGGTTGCCCCCACACGAGGCTGATTTCACCGCTCCGTCTCCGCGGTGCGACGTCCTGACTTGACTGCCTTCGGGAGAGAGAGTGAGAGAGCACGC